AATGCACGGCTGATGACTATCCGATAGCCGGCTTCCTCCCCGCCTGCGTGCGTGCGTGCGGGCGGTCGTGCGTGCGTGCGTGCGTCCGTGCGGGCGTGCGTAAGTACGTGCGTGCGTGCGTGCGTGCGTGCGGGCGGGTGTGCGGGCGTGCGTGCGTGCGTGCGTGCGGGCGTGCGTGCGGGCGTGCGTGCGTGCGTGCGTGCGTGCGTGCGTGCGTGCGTGCGGCGTGCGTGCGTGCGTGCGTGCTGCGGGCGTGCGTAAGTACGTGCGTGCGGGTAGTCCCCCCAGGGCGGTTGCTGCGCTCCTCACGGCCATGACACACGCGTGCACACGCGCACGCACGCATACACACACACGCGCACGCGTTTAAACACATGGGCCAGTATACAAACACGCAGGCGCATGCACGCGCTTACACATACACGCATGCCGTGTGCGTGTGCGTGTGCGTGTGCGTGTGCGTGTGCGTGTGCGTGTGCGTGTGTGCGTGTGCGTGTGCGTGTGCGTGTGCGTGTGCGTGTGCGTGTGCGTGTGCGTGTGGTGTGCGTGTGCGTGTGCGTGTGCGTGTGCGTGTGCGTGTGCGTGTGCCACACCCGCACACGCACACACACGCGCGCGAGTGCATGTTTTCATGGTGGGTGGTGAAGCATTTGCGGAGAACCTGCCACCGTGTTTCGATACAGCGTGAGTGAATGGCGAGATTTTGTTGGTGAATCTCATCAGATATAAAAAAAATTATTTGAGTTATCCTATATCATGTTGAATTATGACTAGAAACGTCCGGTGTGTTCATGCGATACATCTACCAGCATACTCTGTTAGATTTCTCAGTATAATTCGACATTTATATGCGCATACTGGTATTTATAAAGTTGTGTATTTACTGCATGACGCTTGCTGCTGTATGCATATAAAAATCCATCTCACCAACATGTGCGATTTTAGAAAATAGGCCTGCATGGCTGTTAACCTGCTCACGGTCTGGCGCCTGGTATCGGGCCAAAGCGCGTGTGTCACGACGGGGCACTTGCGACACAGAGCGCATCGGCTAGTAACATACCTGTGCGAGAATAAATGGACAATGTGACTTCTGCCGAAGTGATTGTACGAGAGGTGCGTCTACATTGCAGCCCACAGTAAATCTGCTATAGAATGGACTGTAGTGTATGTATGTATGTGTGTGTGTGTGTGTGTGTGTGTGTGTGTGTGTGTGTGTGTGTATGCGTGTGCGTGTGCGTGTGCGTGTGTGTGTGTGTGTGTAGTGTGTAGTGTGTGTGTGTGTGTGTGTGTGTGTGTGTGTGTGTGTGTGTGTGTGTGTGTGTGTGTGCGTGCGTGGGTGTGTGTGTGTGTGCGTGTGAGTGTGTGTGTGGTCGTGTGCGTGCGCATGTGTGTATGCGTGTTTGTGTGCGTGCGCGTGCGTGTGTGCGCGCGTGTGTGGGTGCATGAGTCTACGCGCGCGCGTGTGTGCGTGTGTGCGTGCGTGTGTGTAAGTGCGTCAGTGTATGTGTGTTGTTGTTGTTGCCACTGGAGCATGAGCCACGCGAGGTGCCGACGTCGCATAAGCGCAGCATTGTGCTAAAGCTAAAACGCGTTTAATAGCGAAACCGCCTTATTAGGAAGCCGACGGTCATCTTTGTACATTTCACGCTGCGCGCCGACAATACTGTGGTTAGCATTCCGCACGCAGCCGTATGATTAGAGACCCGCACATAATGGCACACCTATAGTGCAGCACACTCGCTGCCACTACACGCGCGCGTGTGTACGTTTGTACGCGATGGTTCACAGCCTATGTAGCTATCAGCATGTAGCAGCATATCCAACGAGCTACAGTTTCACTCTAAATAATCGTCTCGTGGCTTTCTATAGGTAGATGGCACGACGTAAACCACGGGTCTCTAATCCGGCCGAAACACACATTTAATTCTACAGTAGGCGTATACGATGAGTCGATCGACACTACAGCAAGGGTTAGAGTCTATGCGGACGATATCCATATAAAGGCGCGCTTGCGAGGGTGAGCTATGAAGAAGAGAATCGACTAATTTAACGTGAACTGATTACAGCTTTTATCAGCGTCACAGCCGCGCCCGTGTCTAGTGATGGCGTTCGTGCAGGCGGGTCTTACCGGAGTCACTCACAAAGCCTCGCGCGCGCGGCAGCCCAACTATGCGAGACAGAAGAAAAAGGCACATCCACACCGACCATGCATAATTTACGAGACGCGCATTTTGTATTCTAATATACCGTTCACTTGCATCGCGTGCTCCGTGTGTCGAATTGTGATAATAATTGTCAATGCCTTGTATTGATAATTGCGTGCAGTAAAGCCGGATCGCTTACATATTTTCCAAAGACATACGCACACACGCACACGCACACGCACACGCACACGCACACGCATACGCACACGCACACGCACACGCACACGCACACGCACACGCACACGCACACGCACACGCACACGCACACGCACACACACGCACGCGCGCGCGCACGCACGCACACACACACACGCACACGCACTCGCACACACAGTGACACACTCACACGCACGCGCGCACGCACGCACGCACAGACACACGAAGTTATAAAATAGTAGTTACTTGTGACGAAATGATCAGAACAAATTGTGGAGAATTTTGACGGACTCCAGTAGCGTACCATTTACATTTACTCATTTACATTTAAGTGCCAGTC